GCTCTCTCTCTCACTCTCTCTCTCTAATAAATAAATTAAAAAAAAAAAGAAATTAAGCTTAATTCTAAAGGGATAGGCCCATAACCAGAAACATGAAAAACACTAGCAAACTAACCCTCTCCAACCAGAGAGCTGGATGCAGGAGAACATAGTTTAAAGAAATTGTGGTACCTCCAGGCTGCCACTTCAGTGGGCAAAAAGAACTTCTTAATTTTTTTTTATTAAGTTGTTCTTTATTAAAAATAATTTTATGGATTATAAATAATATAAATACTTCTGAAGAATACATGATTTTCCATTATGCATTTAAGCTAATTACTTATTGTGATTACTAAAATATTTTATAAAGTGAAATAATCCATGGAGAGACAATATAAGAGTTAGAGTATTTCTTGCATTTTAGAAATTTGGGGGAATTCCTATTTTAATACAAGTCTATATTAGCATTCAATTTAGTGTCTACGTATTTATGTATAATACAAATAACCAAAAGAACCCCCCTTATACCACAAAAAGGTATTTCCCCTATAACACTGGGTTACTTTTTGCTAAATAGTCCAAATATTTCCGAATGTAGTTTCTTACATGATACTCTGTTTTCTTTATTGGTCCATTACTTTTGTTATTACAGATGTTTTATTCACTTTTTAGTAAGGATTGTACCACATTGTATGTTTTCTTTAGTTCCTGTTCTATTTGATGGACTTCAGGAATTCCCAGGTTCTTCTATCTGTTTATTTATTGTTTATTTGTTTACATGTTTATTTTTTTAAGTAGTCTCCATGCCCAGTGTGGGGCTTGAACTCACCACCCTGAGACTGAGTCTCATGCTCTGCCAACTGAGCCAACCAGGCACTGTTTTATTCACTTTTTAAAGGTTGATGATTTGGTAGTTACAAGAATCGCTCAGTTCTTAAAACATATGCCTCAAGTACGCCCTGCAAGAGGCATATCCTAAAACTCTCATTTTGTGGAACACTTACACATTTAGTAAAGAACATGGGCGTTCTATTCCCAGACCTTCTGATAAAGAAAACTGCCCCCAACCTGGTCTGGGACAGGACATTGCATGTGATAAAATTATCTGCCCCGCTGGGAAGCGGCCATCACCCTGGCTCCAAGACTGCAGCAATTTTCTCCGAGACCTAATGGGATTAAGAAATGCAGGGGGGGGAGGGGGCGGGGATTGGCTTCCCACCCTACTGAGCCGACTTCCAAGCTTGCACTAAAGCCTTATCACCACGTACTCTTTGTACCACTCATTTCTTTTAAATGCCTCCACTAACAGAGAAATATTGAAATCAGTTGTGGCAAAAGCTGAGTGGAAACTGTCTTGTGCTTGTAATAAATAATTCCATCTGAGAAGATCTTTTACCAATGCCTTCATCTGATAACTGGTCTCTCGCTCTCTAACAAAAGGATAATGATTATACCTGGGCCATGTTCAAAGTTTTGGAAGGTAACCCAGGATGGGTATCTGCAGCATTATAATTATTCTCCACCTTTCATTCCCGGGGATGTTTAGGAGTTGGTTAAGATTAGGGTAGAACGTTCTGCCTTTCTTCCTAAGTTTTTGTTTTGCTTATCAGCTCACCCTTCCACGACCAGTTAGATGAAGTGCCCCTGCTTGAGGACAGGGCTTCCCTTCCAACTTGAACCCCATCATCTACAGATTCTGCTTCTAAGAGGGGTGAGGGAGTTTGTGGCCAGCTGGGGAAAACACTTAGCAGGAAACCATGACTCTACCGTAATGTCTGTTGGCTTCAGTGTTGGGATCTGACAACATCTTCTCGTTGCTGGAGTTCAGAAGTGGTGCTGCTGGCCTTAAAAGGAAATTTCAAGAGGAAAGAAAGAGTATGACTTTTTTTGGCTCTAACTTCAAACCACGAAAACAATCAAGGAAAGATACGAGAAAACCAGGGGGCGTTTTCTGAAGTGAGGAAAACTTGACCCTCTCCTGTGGAAAATAAACATTTTTTCCAAAATGTTGACAAAAACTCTTTGCTGTTAAAAGAAGTGTGAGGGCCCTCCCTTACTATAGCAAGCTCTGAAGAAGTAGCTTTTTCTTGTCTCCTTTGGACGGTCTTCATTTATTTCCAGAATTGCTTGATTATTCTATTATTCCATTCATTAAATAGTCCATCATCTCATACATATTTGACACACCAGAATTATCCTATATTAATCAAATATATACACACATATATCCTTGTTACTTTCACTTACATATAAATGGCCTGTTAGAAATGTATTCTGGTATGTATTTATAGAAATCATTTCAGATAAAGACTATGTCTGCCAAATTGAATAGTACTGTATATTATAGTTACTATAAATACAAAATATTTTGCCTTAAGCAATACGTATGATTTCATTATTGTTGATCAAGAGTTTTATTTGCTCTCACACAATTTCTCATACATGTCAATATTAGCCTCAAATTAGAAATGAAAATGACACTTTTTAATATTTTGCATGGGACTCTGCATAACTCATTTTAATTTATATATAATATGTGAAGCTTTTTATGTATTTTATTGAGAAATAAAAATTGGATATTTGGCTTTTGTATAATAAAAATAAGAAGTGTCAGGGCCAAGGTGAATCCCACCCCTCTGAATTCTTCATCCTGTGCTACTGTTTTTCTCCAGGACAGAGCTATCCCTTTCCATACTTTTGAATTTTGGATTTCAAGAACAGTAAAAATATTACCACCTTTTTTTTTTTCCTTAGGCCAACTCTATTTTGCCAAGTAAGCAATCTTTAAAAATTCCATCCAATATAATTTCATAAGGAAAAGGGGATCTCACAAGGAACAGCATAAGAAGGACATGACCTCAGAATAAAGCCATTCTTTCCCATGGAAGGACAGTTGGCAATCTTCCAAGGAGCCAAAGACACACGTGTCCCTATGCTACTCACACTGAAGACCCTTATTTTTCTGAGTTTTCCAAGAGACACTGAAAATTCTCTAAGGACCAGAATCTCCCTATAGTTGATGCATGTCTACAGAGTAGCCACCTCTCTCCCAAGTACACACACTGACCTGGACATCTCCACTGGTGTCTGCTTGGCTTTAAAAGAGAAAGAGAAAATCCAAAGTTAGTATAAAGTATCCACGTCTGTACCAGATAGGAAGACTCATCTCAACCATATCTGACTTTCTTGAAGATTGAATGCCCATAAAAAGAGAAAAGAAAGCCAAATATATTCCTGCTTTTAAAAAAAGAAGAAAAAAACAAACAAACAAATAAACAAACAAAGTAGGTCTTCTCTTGGTCTTATACCAAGAGATTTCACATCATTTCCTCCAGAAATATGGACATTTTGACTGTTTTAGCCAGGAGCAATTTTCCTTAGTGGAATGTGATAAGAGATGAAGTCAACAGGAGAGGAACCAGGTAAGCCAGATAAACCGGCAACTATCTCTTTGATTCAAGATGATTCCAAGAAGTAAAGGCTACATCAGTCCTTATGCTTTTAATTCCAAGCTGGCCTGAGACCAAGGCCAGGGTCAGCCTTAGGAAAGGGCTGGTTCTGGAGCCTGTCTTCCCAGAAGGGTTGCAGCTTTCTTATTCTAGAAAAAGCCCAGGGACCCTCCTCATCCCGTCTGCCCCCACCCGTCCCAGGCAGCAGCACCGGGGCTCCAAAACAACCTGCCCTACTCTACAAAAATTTTTGCAGAATTTAGTGGGGCCAAGCCCTTTTCCTTAAGTTCATGCTAGCTGACTCTGATTCCTGAGTGTCAGTGGGTGATCCTGGCTTCCCTTGCATGTGTGGTTAACCTCAAGCACAGGGTAGAAATCATGGACAAATTAGGAGGCATTCAGTGGATGGGGGGGTGGGGCCTAGGTGGGTCTCCATAGCACTCTACCAACTGCAGGACTAGGTGTGGCCAAATCCACAGAAACAGCATCTTCTGACCACATGTAGATGCAACCTCCCCCCAGATGCAGCTTTTCTGGGTTGTCCAACTAGGAAAGCAATCGCTTTCCTTTGTGCCTAACTAAATCCAAGGGGGCAATAAAAGCTTTATGCCCACCAAAGCCAAAATCTTTGGTTATCAAGGTGACACCCCAAGGAGAAAAACAATTGTCACCAGTTTTATCTCCTCAGTTCCCAGTGGGGCAGAGCACCAGCCCTCCATGAAGCTGAAGCCCCTCATGTCCAGGGCCAGTTTCCTGGACAGGGCAACCTACCAGAATGGAATGAAAGAACTGTACTTACCCTTGGCTTTCTTCAGAAAATAACATCTGGCCCCAAGTACCAAGATGGCAATTATCACTCCAATGGCAAATACTGCAATAAGTCCTTTTATCCATGGGGCAAGAAAGACTGGGAACGAAGAAAAAAACATACACACACACACACATACACACACACATAGGTTTTTCCTCTGCCAGCAAGAAATAATACCAGGTTTAAGCAACAAATAAGACTAGTTTTTATAGTCCTTGTAACCAGCATCTTACATGAACATCAACCTCTGAAGGACACTGTTCATAGCTGGTGGAGAGATGTTTTTGTGTGTCTTTTGTTTGTTTGTTTGTTTGTTTGCTACAGAGTCAGCTATGGTCTTAAAGGACCATTGGACTGAAGCAGACTCCTTTCTGGGGTCTATTCAGCCCTTCTCCTTCACTAGGAAACCAGCTTCTACCCACTTGTGTGGGCTCCCCTAACTATGTCCCTTCCACATGACCCAATCCCCTTGGCCATAGGTAGTCCATGGGTGGACATTTGACCCAAGATGGGCCAACTGGTATCTCTTGACCAAGAATTTGGAATTACAACTATGTGAGACATTTCTAATTTTTTATAATAACCAATTCCTCTTTTATATTTAATTTGGATGCATGTCTATCACTTGCAACAAAAGAGCCTGGAGGACATTGGTCTCTTAACCCTCAGTGAAATGAGCTAAACAGCTGCCCACTTCCTCTTACAAGGGATGAGGCTTTGGCCTCGCTCTTGGAGGCCACACTAGATCCCAATGTTTCAGACCCTGACTCACCTCGGACTGTCAGTATGTTGCTTTGGGGACTGTTTTTGACCCGGTTGCCTCTGTTGGAGGCTGTGCAGTAATACTGTCCCTCGTGCTCCTTGCTAGCCTTCGCCTTGTGCCAAATGGCCTGGGTGTCATTCAAGGTGATTTGGTAGAAGGGACTGGTCTCTTTTTCTCTGTAAAACCTGAAGGTGATTGGACCAGATGCTTCGTTCACGGAGCACCGAAGCACGACGGCCTTCCCAGACTCCACATCCTCATTCAGCAGGATAGAGAGCTTGACCTCATCCACCGGGGCTGAAAGGCAGTGAAAGGGACAGCGCTGAGGAAAGGAGGAGGTGCAAGAGAGGGAACATGACACAGTGCTGCTCAGGGCCTGCCTCCTGCCGCCCCGTGACAGAGACTGGGACCGTGACTGTGTGTGCCTTTTACTCAATTCACCACCCCCACCCCACATCCTTCATATCTCCCCTCCTCTCCTTAGCCCAGAAGGACAGCAACCGAAGCCTCCTTTGCCCACGTGTTGTTTACACACAAGATGCTAGGGACACCTCCCTTCACTTAGCACCTCAAGGATTACTGACCACTCAGCCTGATGATATAGTTCATCTCTGTGCCCTGTTGAGTGTGTGAGTGTGAGTGTGAGTGTGTGGGTGAGTGTGAATGTGTGTGTGTGTGTGTGTGTGTGATTTCCCTCCCTGTGCTTACAAAGATGTATGGCACTTCCAGATCTTACGAATAACCTTGACCCACTATCTTTAGCTATTCCTGTTTTTCTCCCTTTTCCTTTACAAATGTTCTAAACCAACTGCTCTCGCATCCTCATTTCCCACCTTCTTGTTACCCCTGTCACCTGACTTCCATCCCTCCGCTTTGGAAACTGCTCTCCATCTCTGGTTTTGAAGAAAACGCCAAAGGTCACCCGATCCTGACTCTCCCATCCCTGAGTCCCCAGCAGATTAATTCCAGTCTTCATAGGTGTCCTTCCAGTCTTCCCATCTGCGGCTTTCCCAAACCAGTGCGGCTTCCTCTGCGGCCTCTCCGATGCATCCCAGCCTAGATTCTCTAACCTCCTCACCTGTCACACCCTCTTTATTCACTAGTTTGTCTTCCTTTTGCCCCTTAAATATGGACTTTCTGCAAAATTTAGTCCTCAGCTTTCCATCTCCATTCTCCTCTTTGGTGATCTCACCTACATCATAGCTTCTGTTTGTGCATTTAACACATAAACATAGAGCATTTAATGCCGAAATAGACAGCTCTAGTCCGATTACTCCCCCTGGATTCCAGGTCTCGATTCTGACCTGGGCATTTCTACTGGGAAGCCCTGCCAGCCTTGCATTCCCAGCAGATCCAAGCAGGACTCAATTTCCTCCCATATACATTTTACAAGTTTAATTACCAAAATCCTGATCCTCAATTGTCTTCCCAAGCAGACTTTCCTATTAGTGTGAGAATGGACTGGTCAGCAGACTGGCATCTGACTTCATTTTTATTTATTTATTTATTTATTTTTAAAAGATTTTATTTATTTATTTGACAGAGAGAGACACAGCGAGAGAGGGAACACAAGCAGGGGAAGTGAGAGAGGGA